CAAAAAAAAAAAGAAAAAACCCCAGACAAACAGTCAAGCAGAAAACAACAACCCTAATCTAGGAACTGCCAAGGAGGAAACCAGACCCCCCCCCCCCAACAACCAACCCCCAAAAAAAAAAAGAAAAAACCCCAGACAAACAGTCAAGCAGAAAACAACAACCCTAATCTAGGAACTGCCAAGGAGGAAACCAGACCCCCCCCCAACTCTGGCAGGGCAAGCTTCTGTATATAAACAGGGAGCAAACCCCACACTCACCAGCACTGAAGATGTTACCTAGACGGGTCATGCAACGTCTGCAGGAAAACCACCCAGCTCAGAGAGCCCCAAGGACTCCACAGGTCAACCCCGACCTGCTGAGATTCTCTTCTATTGAAATCCAATAAGGCAGCACTTCTGGACAGACCTACTTAGGAGCAAGCGCTACTGAATTCAGCCGGGCTTCCTGCGTGGCTTCAGACGGTGAAGCCCACGCTGGGGCTCAGCCTGTCATCTCTGTGCATCTGGGAAAAGGAATGTCAGCGGGTGCAGGGCTGAAATTCCCACCTCTCTCGCCCTGCTTGCCTCTTGTAACGTTATCTGCTGCAGCTGTTGAGATGGATCTGGACCTGCTGGAACGGTATTCTAGAGGCAGCCTTTGGGGCTGGAAAGCAGGGGTTTGGGGAGTGTTGGGAGCTGGCAGTGGGCGCGCACACAAAATGGCTGCTTGAGCAGTCATGCCTGTTTCCCAAAGAGCTGCCAGTCACAAGATTGGCATTTGCTAGAAAATGATTCTTCTGTTCCCCTCCAGGCTGATCTCTGGCATCTCAGCGGGTCTTTTATGGCAGCACAGCTGCACGTAGATTGATGCTGGAAACGGGTGCTTTGCAACCACCAACATCTGACTGACTGACTGACTGACTGACTGATTGACTGACTGACTGACTGACTGACTGACTGACTGACTGACTGACTGACTGACTGAAGAAAAAAGAACCTCCCCAAATTCTTGATCCGGATGCAGAGCTCCAGTGCTAAAAAATTGGCTGCGTTCCTTCTTTTCCAAACGGTGCTCCAGAGTTCACTCAGACTTGTGGGGCACAGTCTGGAAAGGCGTCTGCTAGCTGGCCGTAGAGCAACTCTAGGCTTTTTGGGAATAGGAAAAGGAACGCAGGGAAGGGAGCGGGAACCATATTTGAGCTGCTCCAGGTTCCTGCCCCGATGGGGATGGTCTGAAAGGAATATGCCACGGGCCTGGGAATACCACGCAACCAGGGATCCCAATTCTGCAGAAGACGGCAAGCGCGTCTGATCAGGCACTGCTTCAGTTCCATTCTGGCCTTTCCAGTTAAGCAGCTGGTCTCCTTTCCTTAAGCCCCTTTTTTCTGCCCCCTTTCCCAAAGAGATATTTCCCCTTTTGTCAGCCCCACCAGTGGGAAGACAAGTCATGGCAGAAAAACCAATGTTGCAGAGTTCTCACAAATCTGCCCTTGGCAGCGAAAGTGTGATATTGAAGTTGCAATTCAGATTTTTCCCAGCCAGGATGGAACCACGGAGGGCAGCTCTCCTGCTGGGCACGGATCAATAGCTCCACCGAGCTGCATCTAGCAAAAAAGAAGACTTTTATCTATCTGATACTGTGCAGAATTGCATTGCTAGAGAGAGGCTAGCTCGGAGCAGAGAAATCATAGCGATTTATGGTAACTTCCGTTATTTTCCTCGAAGGGAACACAGTTTGTGCAAGCATACACTTTATTCTCATGTCGTACTGTTCGAGCCTCAATTGTACCAGCCGTAAACCACAAGGAGAACCTTGATGCTTGCAAATAGGTGGGATAATGAATGGAATAAACAAGAGGGAAAGATAATACACCAAGAGATGCTTTGGAAGGACTGGAACGGAGAAAGGAGAGCCTTGAAAGTGTCTGGGATGGTCCAGTGGCCCAACCTTGGCAAATTTATCCTGAGATGGAGAGGAGAAAGTCCAAGCCAGAATGTCCCTTTACAGCTCCTTTTAGAAAGGATTCAGAGAAACTAGAACAGTTTCAAAGACAGGGATCTCTCCCCAGAGGGGGTCAAAAAAGTCAAGATGGCAGTCTCCACCATGCAATCAAAGCCCTGCTCCTTTTTGGGCATGGTTTTGACCCCTACCTTGCATTTGACTGCATGTTTGTGACTGCCATCTTGACTTTTTTGACCCCCTTGCTGCAGACATCCTTGTTTAGGGAGCTGTAATGTAATTTCTGCCAAGAGAGGCTAGAAGGACTGGGAATGCTTAGCCCTGGGGTATAACACCAGTTCCAGAATGCCAAATGTGGAATAACGCAGATTCCAGGTTAGACAAAATGTCCTCACAGATGGGCTGGCCTCTCCTTCACTGGACGTGTCCAAAGACAGGCCAGTCGGTGACCTTTTGGGGCGCTCCAGCTGGGTTCCTGCACAGAAAAGGGGGCTGGACTAGATGGCCTCGAGGGCGCCTTCCTTCTCCAGAATTGTGTGATTCCATGGATCACCTTGGCATCATGTACAAAAATGGCCCATCTGCTAACAGCCTTTGTGCCTGCCTCCCCCCCAGCTCCAAGTCTTCCACATGGCGCCTTCCAGCTCAACCATTGTCAGCCCTCGGTGCGACCTCTTCCCGTGCTCACGCTGATCCCAAATTGAGCTGTAATTACTGGATTAGCTCTCGGCTTCCCGGGCCTGTTGAGCGCAACATGTCATGAAAAAGGGCCTCTGCATGGAGGCGCTAGCCCTGGGGGGGCTTGCCTCCCCACATGGAAACGCGAAGGTGCATCACTGCACACCCCTGGCACAATGCCCGAGGGCCCAGCGTCAGAACTGGCTGGCCTGGGCACCCCGTGATGATGTCGCTTCCTTCCCAAAACCGCCGTTGCCCGCAGGACAGGCTGTCGGCGGCCAGCCCTGCTTCCAGCTCCAATTAGCTC